TTCCATCACAATATGGTAGCCACTGAGATACCTTTCTCTTCTAAGAGAACAAGAGTACCACACTAGACATATAGACAGAAACTTTTATACTTCACACACTTTATTTCCCCCCAGATTCCTGGAACAATATAAGAAATGATGATGTTTATAGAGTTGTGGATAAGATCTCAGACTATGGAACCACATCACTGCATTCTAATCACTGTTCCCCTCCACTCTTATGAGCTGAGTGATATAGAGCATGCCCCCTACCTTCTAGCGGTCTTAGATTTCTCATTTGTAAAATGGAAGAAATATCAGTAGCTCACTCAAAGGGTGAAGTGAAGATCCATGGTCAGAGATCAATCAATATTAGCCACCATTAAGTTGTTAGATATTATTTTCATATCTTCTTTTCCAGATATATGATTATTATTAAATTATACTTAGACTCGGGTTCTTAAGATTACAAATCACAGATGAATTTTGCCATCTTTTAGTTTGACTCAACTTTGGACACATCTAGAAAGAAACAGTCTCTCCAGTGAGGCTTTTCCCAGGTGGGGTTCTTTCTTAGGAAGGTACCTGTTTCACACTCTTTTCCACGTGCCTGCCACTTCAGTAAGCTTTCCCCTCCCCTAACTTGGTATCTTTACTTCTAGATTTGGGAGAACTTTCCTACACAGCCTTTGCCATTTGACTATCCATTGCAATTAAAAGAAAAGTTTCCCTGCACTCCCCACCCTTTCATTTTCAGCCTAATCAGCATAGCATGTCAAGGGGGCTGTGTTCAAGATTCCAGACCAACTCTTGAAAAACCAACCCAAATAGTGAGAGACACAGGAATGAGGATGGTTAGAAAGGTCAACATTTATCCAAAGAAGATACAGAAATGACCAGCAAACCCTGGGAAAGATGCCAAACCTCATTAATTATTAATAATATGTAAACCAAAACCACAATACCATTCCATAGCCAGTAAGATGGCTATAATAAAAATAATCTCTATATATAAAAGCCTAAGTGACCATCCAACCATCCAACTGGTAGATATGCTGCATACTGATCACCAAGGGGCAGATGCTCAATGCAAAAGCTGCTGAGCAACAGCAACATTGCAGAGTGCCCTCTCGCACTCCAGGACCCTTCGGGGGGATGTCAAACTGCTGGTTTTGAGCCGAGGGACCTCCCCTACCAAAGGGACCCCACTCACCCCGCAGATCCCTTTCGAGCCCTGGTGATGCCCCAGGTGCGTCTGGCTGGGGAGGGACTGAGGGAGGTTGGCTTGAGGGCATGTCTGGCCCATCTTGCCGAGTCCCACCCTGCCAGCCACCTTCTAATTAATTTCCTTTCAATGTGCACGAATACGTGCACCAGGCCTCTAGTGATAATAATAATAACCAGTGTTGCTGAAATGTGAAAAATGGAAGTATTTGTATATTGCTGGTGGGAATGTAAAATGATGCAACCACTGCAATAAACAGTTTGGCAATTCCTTGAAAACTTAAAGCTAGGATTACCATATGACCCAGCAATTCCACTCCTAGGCATATAGCCAAGAGAAATGAAAACATATCATCCACACTGAAGTATTTTTGGTTTCTTTGCAGGAATGGGAGGGTGTTTATTTTTTAAGTACTCACCTGAGGATATTTTTTCCATTGATTTTCACACAAATAGAAAGGGAAGAAGGAGGGGGAAGAGAAAGATAGAAACATTGATGTGAGAGAAACACATGGATTGGTTGCCTCCAACACACACCTCAACTTGTGCTGCGCATTGAACCACAGCTGGGGTACATGCACCTGACTGGGAATCGAACCTGAGACCCCTTGATCCAAGTACCGATGCTCTAACCACTGAGAAAACTGGCCAGGGCCACATGGAAGTTTTACACAAATATTTATAGCAGCATTTGTTATAATAGCCAAAAGGTGGAAACAACCCAAATGTCTATTGACAGATAAAGGGGTAAATTGGGACACATACACACACACACACACACACACACACAAGGAAAATTATTAGCCATAAAAAATACTGATATATGCTACAACTTGGATGAACCTCAAAATCATTATCCTAAGTGATAGAAGCCAAACACAACAGCTCACATATTTCATGATTCCTTTAATATGAAATATACAGAATATGCAAATTCATAGAGACAGGAATAAGATTAGTGGTTGCCAATGGCCAGGGTGGGGTGTTGCTAGAAGAGGGAGAATGGAAAGTGATTAAGTACCCATTACTTTGTGGATACACACAACTTAATGGTTAACAACTTAATGGGTTTGGATAAAATGTTCTTCTGGCATGAGAAAGTTTGGAAACTAGAGAGAACTGGTGGTTGCACAACATTTTGAATACACTAAATGCCACTGAATTGTACACTTTAAAATAATTAATGTTATGTGAATTTCACCTCAATATTTAATAAAGGTTATAATATAATCTTATGTTTAACATAATCCTCAGTTTTAAAAAATGGAGATATACATGAGAATAAAATATGTTAGTTCATACTTCAATACAGTAAATATGATTATCAAGGAACAATCTGAAATCAGGTCATTTTAGTTGTTCCTCTTAAATTGCTTTTAAAATTTTCCAATGATTACAAAAATTAGTTGCATGATAAATTTTTAATAACTAGGAAAGAAAGGTTACAGTGGTATTGAGTAATAGATTTTTAAGAACATTGGGGAAATTCTTATGCTATAGGGTTAAGTGAAGATAAAAGAATATTGTATTGTATGTATAGCATGATCCCAAGTATTTAAAATGCACTTCTTATGGTACCACTGTCTCTGGGACAGTGCAAATGAATGAATGCGCAAATCAGTGACATTTTTCCTTTCTACTTTCCAAATTTGCTTTCTTTTTTAAATCAAAGTACTGGCATTTCATTACTAAATGAGTCATTTTATACAATATGAACATCAATGTAATTATAATTATAATTATAAAAAGATTTATGACAAGAATGGACTGATTTTCATATTTCCAAATTAGAGTCAACTGTACATTTACACAGAACTGTCTTTGCATGAAGCCCAAAAGGTCACAGCATCAAAATGAGTGATCCTGTAGCCCCTTTATTTTTGCTGATGAACAGTTTTGTAGAAAAGCAGTTGCAGGTGTGTCAACTAAGGTCTGAGACAGTAGAAGCAGAAGATTCAGTCTCAGCAGAAAAATGCCAAAACGGGAGCTGGACAAAAGAAGAAACAAGGACATGACCAGAGGCTGCTGCCTAAGCTGCCTTAATAGACACTGCGCTCTCTGCAGGACGCAAGGCCAACTTTTCTTAATGAGCATATTTACCACTGTCATCAGAAAGGTTCTTTATTTTGTAAATGTCTACTACAAGGCAGACTGACTTAAACAAGGAGAGGTTTCGAGTGTATGTGCTATGACAAGGAAGGTGTTTACACTGAAATTATATATATTGATACATAATATTCCTCTTAGAAAAATTATAAAAAACAGAAAACGTAAAGGTGGACATTTAAATTACCAGACTCTAACCACTCAGAGAAGCTTAGTCGAACTTTGAACAGAAGTGGGCCACGGCTGTTTAGAAGCAACGGTCCTTCACTGTGTAGTGAGATCATCTGCATAATTTGCTTAGCAAGTGTGAGCCTATTGTGTGCCAAGCCTGCTCTAGCAGAAGTGTGGCTCTGCACAGAGCACAGAGGATACTGAAAGGACAATTATTGGTCTTTGGTTGACCAGCACGCTTTCTCACTTCACTGGATATTGACAATTTGGTAACCTGAACTTCCTTTGGGGAAACAGCCCTTTCCACTCTTAGTTCATGTGGTTTGGGTGGGACTGAACCCAACCATCCCAAAGTAAGGATGACCTAGAGGCTAAGCCAATCAGTGGGTTCAACTGCAAGGGCAATAATGATTCCTTATGCTAGGCTACATGTCAAGGACAGTACTTTGGTTAAAAATGTTGACAAGACAGATGGATTCCATCACTGAGCAATTGTAAATAAAAACAAATGCTCAGTGATAGAAGCCGTGATGATGAATTGGTTGTTATATCGGTTTATGGTGGCCATGCTCTGTTCCTTCCCTGTGCCTCACTCAATCATGGCCCTTCCCACTCAATACTCTGCTCCCTGATGTTTCTGTCTCCCCTATCAGATGGTCGGCTCTTTCTAAAGCAGCGATTTTCAACCAGTGTCCCACAAGAACTTTTAAAACATGCAATACCAGACTATTTAGACAGGGTCACTAACCTACTTGCCCTTAGGTCAGCAAATAAAAGATGACAATAACCAACACAATAACAGTCATCTGGTGTAAATGTCCTGTCTTAAACAACAAACATAGAGGTCATATTATATATGACCTCTTATTGCATCTTATTGGTCCCCTTGAATAACATGGTTGTGTCTTATTGGTAAATTCTTGGTACCAGCAATTCTTATACAGAAGTGTAGGAACCTGATCATTTTGGAGCAAAAAGGGTAGGCAATTATATTTTTTTGTAAATCAATCAAAGTTTTACCTCTCTTTTTTGTTAGATAGGCAAAAAGTATATTTTTAGTGTACCACAAAATTTTAGTGATTAGTTTATGTGTGTCATGAGATGAAAAAGGTTGACAATTCTGCTCTAAAGGAACAAGATACATCTCTGCTATGTTTGCAATTGGACAGACAAGGGCCTAAATACACAAGTGCAAATGAAATTATTCTGATGGACTTAGTAGCATGGAGATGAGGCATTGGTTGTTCTCTGACTGGGGAATCAGTTTTCTGGGCTCCAGTACCTCCACTGGTTGATATCACATCACACAGGCCCCATCTTGCACCCTTGGGTTCCTGCTCAGGGCTGGATGTACTCTAATATATGCTCTGAGTCATCAGCTGTGGGTACTGATGTGGTCACTGCATACTTCTCACACAACCACACAGAGACCATCATCAGGCAGGAGGTGTGGGGGCAGAGATGCTTCATAGAAAGCCTTCTGGGATGAAGCACTATAAAACCAGAGGGGGACTCAGGTCACAGAGCCTATCCACATCTCCTTCCTCTGCTGAGCACTAAAAGAGCACGAAGAAACACCAGCAGCTCTGACCTGAGTAGCCTTCCTGGGAAGATGCAGCCACCCCTGCTCATGCTCCTGCTGGCCTTTTTCCTGCTCCCCGCGGCAGAGGCAGGTGAGTGACCATCCCCACCCTCACAAGCCCAACCCATCCACAGTGGGCACAGACCTCCTGGCCCTTCTGCACATCCCTGATCCAGCTCTCCACCAGGAATGCTCTGAACCCCAGCTCCAATCCAATCTCAGACCCACACACATGATGCTGGATGAACAACACACAGAAATGACAGGACTGAAGCCTATTCTCAAGAAAAGCCAGTGGGCACAATGCCCTCCCCAGGCCCTACCTGTGCCAGGTGGAGAGTGGAACTGTCCTGGAAGTGCATGGCAGAGGCTGGGAAACTGCAGAGGGCAGAGCGGTCCTGGCTTCCATGCCTGTGATGAGACAGGGGCTGTCCTCAGGGTCTGCTTAGGAGGGAAGCCCAGAGCTCAGCAGACCCCACAGTTGGTGGGGTCACTGTCCCCAGAAGACTTCTGTTTCCTCTGCTCCATCTCAGTCCCTTTCTCCAACTCTGCTTTTCTTCCCAGCCCTTTAGCAAAGTCCTCTCCTTAAAGGATGAGCCAGTGAGGTTGGCAGCCCCAGTCTCCTCTGCTTTGCAGAATCCCGCAGAACTGGCCTTACCAACACAACTCCAGAGTCCCATTGGGGGCCAACCCTTCCAGGCAGTTAATAAAAACCGGGAACTCCTCATGTGTCAGCATCTAGATCCCTTAACTTAAGTCCTAGACACTGCAAAGTGCACTACCCTGGACGACACAGCACCACGGGGGCCTCAGAAGCTCACCCAACACCAAGAGAAGTCAGGAGAGGAATTTTCAGGAGCCTCCAGGCCTTCTCTGTCCCTAAGACCTGTATTCTCACCTGCAACTATGTGTCAGGCAAAGTCACAGGCCCAACCCATTGCTATTCCCTCTCCAGATGAGAAGTTGAGGGCCCTCCCCACCCCCTGACAACTCCAGGCCAGTCCAGCCTCCCAAATGCCCATGTGCCTGAGTCATCAAGCCAATGCCTACCTGAGGGAGCCAGTGGGAACACACAAGTGCAACACACTTTTCCTTCAGGGGAGATCATCGGGGGACATGAAGCCAAGCCCCACTCCCACCCCTACATGGCCTATCTTCACATTACAAATGAGAAGGAGTTCAGATGTGGCGGTGTCCTTGTGGAAAAGAACTTTGTTCTGACAGCTGCTCACTGCAAAGGAAGGTAAGGGGCCGCAGCCAGGCTACACCTCCTGAGACCCCTACAGGGACCCTGTCCTCCATCCCAGGAGCTGCAGCCCAGGGCAGCTCCCCAGGCTCCCAATAACTCAAGTCCATGAGACCTCATCAGAGGAGCCATCAGAGATCATAACGGAGCAATGAGAGGCTGGGAAATAGGACAAGTAATCTCTGGGCTCAGAGGGTCAGAGATGACAAAAAGTAACACAGGAAGAGAGCACCACACTCGGCAAATATAGCAGCGGTGGACCATGAACACATGCATTAGGGTCAAAATGAAAATGCAAGCAATTCATGGCATTTCCTGAGGGCCAGAGAGAGCTCCCAGCTCCCTAACCTCAGTGTCATAGAGAAGTAGAGTCACTCAGCCTCTTTCCCCTGTTGCCTTGATTTCCCCAGTCTGCAGCCTTGCCCTGCCCCAGCTGTCACCTGCCCTTCACAGCTCCTGGGCTTATCTCTTTCGACTCTACCTGCCCCCCAAACTCACACACTATGCTGTCTGTGCAGGTCAATCAGTGTCACCCTGGGGGCCCACAACATTGAAAAGAAGGAGAAGACCCAGCAGGTCATTCCGGTAAAAAGAGCCATCCCCCACCCAGACTATAATCCAGAGAAGTATTCCAACGACATCATGTTACTACAGGTAAGGAAACATTTTGCTGCTCTTGCTCTCATGAGTCCACATTGTTTCCCCTCCAATGGAATGAAGGACTTCCCTTCCTTCCTTCCTATCCTGGCCACCTGACCAGTCCCTGAGACTAAGGTGTCCCTCAATGTCCTGGCTCAGAGACCACTGGCTGATCTGGGCTCCCTTGCCTCTTCCCAACCAGCTGGCGAAAAACATCAAGCAAACTGATGCTGTGAAGCCCCTCCCACTTCCCAGGGGCAAGAACAGGTTGAAACCTGGACAGAAGTGCACTGTGGCCGGCTGGGGGATGGTCACCACATGGGGCAAATACCCAGACACTCTGCAGGAAGTACAGCTGACCTTGCAGAAGGATGAGGAGTGTGAAGGCCATTATAACTTACGCCGTTATTACAACAGGACCATTCAACTGTGTGTGGGGGACCCATCAGAAGATAAGGCTTCCTTCAAGGTGATACTGAGCATCTGACTACCTTGGCTCTGGGAGAGGGGTATTTGGGTAGGAACTGGGAGCTGGGGACCCACGCATCAGGAGACTCCTTCACCCTCTATTCTGTGATCATTCTCCCAAGGAAGAAAAGAGGGGACCCCCCAGAGCTGGGAGAAATTGGGTCTCTGAGAGCCTACAAGGGCCTATAGTCACTCCAAACATGGTGCTCCTCCAGGGGGTGAATGTGCAACACTGGCCAAGGCCAGGGCACAGCGCTTAGATAACCCTTTCCTGGGTGAGCAGTAGTTGTATCTGAGGGTTCTCAGAGCTGGTTAATGGGCTCCTTCTCCACGTTAAGTGTCAGCCCCATCTGTCTGCTCTCGGGTCCTTACACAGTAGGCTGCAGTCATAGCTCCACCGCACCTTCATAGACAGAGAATTAGGGACCTGGGGGAGCAAAAGGAGCTTCCACCTGGGGTGAAGTGAAGCAGTGACAATGTCCACGCTGAGGGGCCCATGGAGACTGCCTTCCCGCTTATCTCCCAAGTGAACACCATGCAAGGCAGCCTTCTCCGAGAGGGGAATGGGGTGGCAAGGAGGGCAGGGCCAGGAGAACTGGCTCAGTCCTTCCCTCTCTCTGTCCACAGGGGGACTCCGGGGGGCCTCTCCTGTGTAAAAATGAGATCCAGGGCATTGTCTCCTATGGAAGCAAGTATGGGGAACCTCCACGAGCCTTCACCAAAGTCACCAGCTACCTTCCCTGGATAAAGAAAACCATGAAAAGCCTCCAACTGCAGGATGCAGACCATCTTCTCTGGAGCTAATCCAGGATCACACTGCGGGGAGGGAGGGGGTGCCAGCAACCAAATAAATGACTCTTAGCTGACGGGAAGAGCTAGGTTTTTGTTTATTCTTTGTCCCTCGTGTGCTCAGAAGGCAATGGCACAATTCTGCTGTGTCCTGCTTCCCCCGCTTCCCCTTCCCCCATCACCTCCTCAAACCCATACTAAGCTGTTATCAGCTCCTTCTTGACCACACCTGCCCGCCCATCTGCCAGGGCAGAGAGGAGCACCATTAGGAAAAAATATGAAACTCTCAGGTCCTGGGCTCAGTGTGAAGGTCTTACTTCTTACTCTGTGTTACATGCTGAGAGGAAAGGACTAGCACGTGGGTGCTGGGCACCAAGCAGGCACAGCCTGGGCTGCAGCTCAGGAGGCCCCACCCCACAGGGGAGAGGAAGGCCTTCCTGAGCAGGACATTGTTCTCCAGCAACCAGGGGGTGGCAGGGTTGGGGTCTGGGGGCTGGTGAGGAGAGACAGGGGTGGAGGAGGGAGGGAAGTCCTGAGAAGCTCCTCATTCCCTCCTGGGCTGAATTTCTCTCCCTGCCCTTTTCTGCCCTCCTCTGAGCGCAGAGCCTAGCTTGGCCTCCAGTCTCCTGGCTGCCCCTCCTTCTCATCCCTGCTGACCACTGAGCATCCTCAGAGTCCACCAACCCTGCGCCCCACAGACCACACTGGTCTGAGCTCCCACTTCTGCATATCCCTCCCACCTAGGACACCCAGAGTGCCCAGGTTCCAGCAGGGCCTGGTCACTGAGTTGCCACCCAGCTTATGCCCTGGCACAGGGTTATCAGGGGACCAGGACTGTGTTGACCCCATGCAGGGCCCTGGAGGACAGGGCGGCAGGATGTCTGCAGAACACCTGGCCCCATCTCTCACTGGGCAGAGCCAGCTCCGCCCTCACATCCAGCCCAGTGTCCCCACCATGTGCTCAGAGTCCACTGACTCCTGGTCACTCAGGAGCCTTAGTCCCCTGCGGCCTGTTCCTCACTGCTGGCCTCAAGGCTCAGGTTGCGTGCTAGCCATCATGGGCTCTATCTGCCTTTTGAGTTAGAAAGGGCTGCTCTCTGCAGTAGGACTGGAAAGCAGTTTTTCTATCAATCAATGAACAAATGCTTATTGTACACCTACTAAGTGCCAGGTATTGGGAATGTACAGTGAAAATAATACAGGTTCTGACACCTGAACACAAGTGAAACTGACAGTGTTGACTTTTATCTGAATGTAATTTCCTCTCCCTCCTTCACATGAACCCACATTGCCCAAGAACTTGACAACACCGCAGTGTGACGCACTCAGAGAGGGCCATGGGTGATAAAGGCCAGAGAACCCTGGGCTCAGAAGACCAGGACAAAGCACCAGCAGCTCTGACCTGGGGAGCTTCCAGAGGAGATGCAGCAACTTCTGCTCCTGCTGGCCTTTTTTCTGGCTCCCAAGGCGCAGGCAGGTGAGTGACTGACCCCCAGCAGAAGCCCAATGCCATTCGGTATTGCCACAGCCCTGCTCACATGCTACACTCGGACATGTCTGGCCCTGGACCATCCCCAGGTACTTTTTCAACTCTAGATACTACCGCCCTCAAAGACCAGCAAGTCTGATGCTGAGTGAAAGCAGCAGGGATGGCAAGGCACAGGGCTGCTCCTGAGGAGGGACCGTGGGTTCTCTCCCCATCCCTTGCCATCTGGAAAATGGGCTCTTTTGCAAAGGCATTTGGAAGAAGGTTGGATGCTCAAAATGAGAAATAATTCCACAGGAAATCGCAGCTTGGCAAAGGGGACAGGCTTCCGTAATCAAAGAAAGGCCCATAACATTCTAACTCAATGTCTTAAAATCTATCCTCAATCTCTACCCCCTTCTCCAAGCTTTGTAAGGGAGCAGGGGATCCAGTTGATCCCAGAGTTGGTGGCATCCTGGTCCCCTGAGGCTGGATTAGTCTCTAGTTCTCTCAGGTAATTTATCAGTCCCAATATTCTGAATAGTTCAAACCAGCAGGAGCTCCATGAGTCTGGGAACAAAAACGGAGAGAGAACCAGGGATCCTGAGGGTAAGAATTTCCCAGGCTCTAGAGGCACTAAACTGCTTATTCCAGACACAAATCCCATTGCCCATATGCATGGCTGCAACAGGAATGAAGGGATCAGAACTGCTCTTCTCTTTGTCAGAGGGAGTATCTCAGTCTCATGGGTCAAATCATGTAGCAAGCCAGGAATGCTGCCCAAGGAACCTGCAGGATGTCTCCTTGGTTATGGCTGATGACTGCAGACATCACTATCTGCCTCCCGCCCTGCCCCTGTTCTTCCCAGTCTTCCCCTCTCCAGCCTCTGGCTCCATGGGCACAGCAGGCACAGTAGAATTTTTCTTGCAGGGAAACTCATCGGGGGTCATGAGGTCAAGCCTCACTCTCGTCCCTACATGGCATTTCTTCGGATCAGGATTTCAGACAGAAAAAGATGTGGGGGTTTCCTTGTGCGTGAGGACTTTGTGCTGACAGCAGCTCACTGCTGGGGAAGGTGAGGAGCGCAGCCTGGGCCCCACCCTTCTGCAGGAACCAGGCAGGGAACCCTCTTCTCAGAGGCTGCAGACCTAGGGGCACAGAGGAGCACTTCAGAGCACAGGTCAGCTTTGGGGAGAGAGGGACAGGTCAATGCAAGTGGCCTGTTGAAGACTAGAGGGACTGATCAAAGGGGTTTAGGAAGGAGGCCAAGGCTGTGCCTGGAGGCCAGAAATTCACAGTTTTGCATAGAGAAAGGCAAGCTCAGGGCACCCAAGAACCGCCCCAGGAAATGACACCTAGCCTGAGCTGCCAACAGCACAGGGCACAGGCATGCTCAGTGCCCAGCCCCAGCCCCTAGAATTCCTCCCCACTCCAATCCTGCACTGCCTACAGCTGTCCTCTTTCCTTCCTGGCCTCTGGGCTGTATCTGCTGTGCCTCCACGTCCCTGGCTGTCTCTGTGCAGGTCCATCACAGTCATCCTGGGCGCCCACAACATCAGGAAGCACGAGAGGACCCAGCGGGTCATCCCGGTGAAAACAGCCATCCACCACCCAAACTATCACCCCAAAGTCAATGACATCATGTTGCTGCAGGTAGGGCTCATCGCTTCCCTGGCTCCTGCACACCTTAAGCCTGGGGTTTCTCATCTCCTGTGACCTCCTTCCTCCCAGTGTGACCCCTTTCCTTGTCCCAGGGCTATGACTGTCCTGGAGTCCCTGGGCCCTTGCTCAATGAGAACTCCTGTCCTCTGCCTTCAGCTGCAGAGGAAGGCCACCCTGACTGCCGCCGTGAGCCTCCTCAGGCTGCCCTGGAGGGGAGAGCAGGTGAAGCCAGGGATGGTGTGCAGAGTGGCCGGCTGGGGGCGACTCGACCTGAAGACCAGCACAGCCATACTGCATGAGGTAGAGCTGGAAATACAACAGGATGAGCAGTGCATCTCTTGCTACAGACGCCATTACAACAGAGCCACAGAGATCTGTGTGAGGGACCCAGAAATGAATCAGTCTACTTTTAAGGTGAGATCTCCAGCATCTTCCATGCCCAGCCCTGGGCAAAACCAAGCTTCCAGGCAACCTGGCGCAGTGGGAACTAGCCATATCCCTATGTCCAATCTCTGGTCCTGTCTCTCCGGGGAGCGGAGAGGCTGTCCCACAGCCACTGGTGGGCAAAGGCTTCCTAGAGGGGGAAAAGGACCATCAGAGTCAAATGGAAAACCCCCGACCTAGGGAGGAGACAAGGCCTGCCCTGAGCCTGATCTCCCATGCAGCTCCTAACAAGGACCACACACCTCAGGGCAACGAGGAGGGCAGGGGAGGGCAAGGCCCAGCTCAATGTCTTCTCTCTCTGCCCACAGGGCGACTCTGGGGGCCCCCTTGTGTGTGACAACATGGCCCAGGGCATTGTCTCCTTTGGGAAAAAATATGGGAAAACTCCTCGTATTGAAATGAAGATTTCCAGCTTTCTGCCCTGGATAGAAAGAACAATGAGACGTTTCCAACTGCAGAGACCAGACTGAGGCACCAGGAACTGATCTATTCATCTCCTCTGGGGCAGCCCAGAACTGCTCTGTGCAGAGGGGTTGACAGGAGGCTGCCAGTCACCTAATAAACTTGCATCTCTAGAGTGGAAGTCACTGATTCCTCCTGTGTTCACCAAAACATGTGTTAGTTACCTGCTGTGTGTGTGGCAACCATCTGTTCATATCTCCTATCTGTTAGCGCTTCCCGTTCATGGAACGCACCTTCCATGTCTAGAATAAAATTCATGCTGCCTTGCTACCCACTCGTTACCAATACTCCTCCCAGTGCCAACTCCCCTGCGAGGCCTAATGTCAGCTCCATCAGGAAAAGGGAAGACATCTGCCCCCCAAAAGTGACACTCTTCTAGGGGACCCTCTTAACTCATCCACATTGCCCTCCTACTTCAAGCCACACTTACACCCTACCCCACGCAGCCCCAATGCCAATATGCAGCATAAAAGAATCCGGAAATTGGATGGAGGGTCCTGTAAGAAACTCTCGGGTAAGGGGCCACTTCTCCACCCAAAGATAAATTGGTGGGCAGATCATGGAAAGGTATAGCTCACCCCAGGCAGTACTCCCCCCACCAATCAGAGCAGATTAAGAAGGTCAGGAAATGCCGAAGCAATTTCTTCAATGATACAGCTCCCAGGGCAGTTGAAACTAAAGAGAAAATGAACAAATGGGACTACATCAAAATAAAAAGCTTCTGCACAGCAAAAGAAACCATCAACAAAACAACAAGAAAACCCACTGCGTGGGAAAACATATTTGCCAACGTCATATCTGATAAGGGCCTAATCTCCAAAATTTATAGGGAACTCATACAACTTAACAAAAAGAAGATAAACAATCCAATCAAAAAATGGGCAAAGGACCTAAATAGACACCTTTCAAAAGAGGACATTCAGAAAGCCAAGAGACATATGAAAACATGCTCAAAGTCACTAATCATCCGAGAGATGCAAATCAAAACAACAATGAGGTACCATCTCACACCTGTCAGAATGGCTATCATCAACAAATCAACAAACGACAAGTGCTGGAGAGGATGTGGAGAAAAAGGAACACTCGTGCACTGCTGGTGGGAA